AAATCAGGACCACAACATTACCAAGAATTCCCAGTTCGTTAACAAATCTCCTCAATCCTCTTTCTCAATCGTTCCCCACCCAGCGGACAATGCTAGACTTTGCCAAGGGAAGAAACATGCCATCCTTCGAAGAGGGGACATCTATATATATATATATATATATATATATATATATAATAATAATAAGATTTGTTATGAACTTTAGAAATGAATTGAAATTTAGATTTCTCCCCACCCAGCGGACAATGCTAGACATATTTGCCAAGGGAAGAAACATGCCATCCTTTGAAGAGGGGACATCTATATAATAATAATAATAATAAGATTTATTATGAACTTTAGAAATGAATTGAAATTTAGATTTCGAGACAGTGTATAAACCTCACGTAAACAAATTGATATTTACTTTGGTTCGAATAACAATGCACATTTTCTCTTTCAATCTAACCTTTTGATTTATTCTGTTTATGATTCCAACTCATTCATGTATTATTCAGCTGGATATCCTACCAGATACCGAAGTTTTTTTTTTAAAAAAATTATATGCTTCTTGTTATGTTTTTTGCTTTACTTGATAACATTCTTGAATATAACACTTTAAGAGCATCCCCAGCGGGTTTATTAAACATTAAAAAATATTATTTTGATTTTTTCATACTTATTTAACACGTTTAAAAGAAAATATTAAACAAAATCCTAAAATATTTTTTTATATATCTTAAAAAAAAACTAAAATCAACAAAATGAGATCATAAAAAAATAAACTAATGAAATATAGTTACGTGGAGAAACAATATCATCAAACTTATTAAGAAAAAATAAAATATTTATTTCTCCCACTTCAATGTAATTGGCTATTTAAATAGCTTTTTTTCATTAATATATATATATATATATAATAAAAAATCATATTTATACTAATATTTTATTAATTAAGTTCTTCAAAATAGTATTTTTCAATGGAAATGCTCTAAGAAGAGATTATAAGTAGCTTGACTGAGAAATATACATGTTTAATAACAATAAACATATCCAAATACAATAAGAAATCCAAGCATCAGAAAAGGGAATCTAGTTCTGGAAAGATAGAACATCAATCAACATGTAATTCCATCCTTTGTCTAAATGAGCCTACTGGCATCCAAGCTATTGGGCATGTCGAACACCAACATATTGCTGCAGTAACTATCCTTCTCATCTTCAGTGCTGACATTGACATAAGTCGTTGATGAAGAACGCAAGGGAGTTGTACTAGATGAAGGTGTGGACAGAAACGAGCCGAAACTCAAACTTTGTAGTGTCTCAAAGGAAATATCGTTGGTGATGGGTTTATTATTAGAATCATGATACACGTAGTTTGACATGAGACTTCCACAAATATCGGGAGTAGTCTCTCCGTTGGCGTGCCACGAACTTCGTAGAGAATTTTGACAACTAAAGTTGGTGGGGTTACGAGAAAGTTGTTCCGAATTGGCTGCGCTAATCTGGGTTTCATATAGAAATTGAGCACTTGGTGTATTTATTTGGTTTTGGAGCTCGTTTGGTTGGAAGCATTGAAATTGGTTTTGAACATGGTTGTTTCCAACTTGGCTATCTTGAACAAGTCTTGGATTGACGTCTTGGCTAATATAGTTGCCTTGGCATGACAAGTAAGGAGTGGCTAGATTCAAGAGATCTGGGTTCAAAATGGGTCCATTGCCAAGCGAACTTGAAATATTAAGCCGAGATGAGTTGTCGATAGTCGAGTTGAGAACCGAGTAGAGTTGAAAAAGATCAAGGTGTGGCCTATGAGTCACAGGATCGATTCCCATCCTCAGTAGCCGTTTCCTTATGTGGGTGTTCCAATAATTCTTGATTTCGTTATCAGTTCGTCCAGGCAAGCGAGTAGCAATTGCAGACCACCTAACACAGTGTGAACAGAAGAAAAATTGAGTCACCGAGGGAATAGTGCAGAAAATGTATGGTTATTTAACTCGGTGACAAGTCCGAGAGAAATAAAACAATCACTACAAAATGGCACAGAATATTTTATTGTCTGGCATGTAAAAATCGTCTGACTACCAAATAGATAATGTCTATTAGTCAAATAATGAAAAAAAAGAAAAGAAAAAAGAAGTTAGGCTGAGGATAGAAAAAACAAATGCACTCACTTATTTCCCAAAACACTATGCAACTGAATTATTGTCTCCTCTTCTTCAAACGAGAGCTTTCCTCTCTTGATGTCGGGCCTCAAGTAATTAGTCCATCGAAGACGACAACTCTTTCCACATCTTTTGAGTCCTACAATTGAAATTCACATCACAAAAGCATTAGTCAAGTTATTATAAAAGTAGTGATGGTTAAAAAAAAAAAAAGACGATAGTTCTAACTTCACTAAACCAAAAGTTTTGTACAAGCCACATAAATGCAGAATTAGCTTGAATACCTGCATTTTTTGGTAGGAGTCGCCATCTTCCATGCCCATGTTTCTGAATGTAGCTAATCAATTTTTTATCTTCCTCTTCTGTCCATGGACCTTTCTTTAGTCCATTTTTCTCACAACAAGGAGATTTTCCCATAATATTGCTTGAAGGGCTAATCTTATTTGTTAGCTTGTGAGGGAGAGGAGGGTGAGAAGGAGAGGCAAGGCAAGTTCACTCCTTTTGAGAAACATGTGCGGAAGCATATATAGGGTAGAGAATTCAAGCAAGAGAAGCAACGGAGCTAAAGAAGTCAATGCGATTTGATACCGTCTTTCTACATCACATTATATACGTGTCTTATTGCAACCCAAATAATAATAATAATAATAATAATGTACGTGTCTTGTTATGAAGAAAAATCACAATAACAAACAAAAAGGGTTAATTGTAATTAGTAAAATGAGATCAAACAAGGACAATCCAAAAGCTATGATAAGAAATTAATTACCGGACGTTGCTAGATCCATTAACGTGGTTAGTCTAAATATCATTAGGTGTTTATCCAAATCAACTTGTAAATTGGACACATAAGAAATTAAGAAGAATTGACAGCATTATTCGCACAAAGAGAGAAGCCAATGATGATTCGCTATTGTAAATATAGGTGAAATTATTTTTTAAATTGTTTTTTATTTAAAAATATATTAAAAAAATATAATTAAAAAAATATTTTTAATAACAACATATCAAAATAATATAAAAATAAAAAAAAATAATTTAAAATAAAAAAAATCAATTTTATTTTAAAAATATAGTTAAATTGCACTACCAAACACTATCTAACTTAGCAAGAAGATGACCATAATATAAATTTTATTTAAGTGTATTTTTTTTTAAGTTGTTACCACTTGTGTTCACCTCTCTAAATTATAATGAAAATTTTGATCACCTTTCACCAAAAAAAAATTTAATAAAACTAATAATTCAGAAGTATATTTTTAAAGCTAATAATCCTTAAATTAGAAAGATAAAAAAAAGAGGAAAAATCATCATTTTATTCCTATGTGTTTGTGGCAATTAATCATTTCACTCGTATTTCAAGCTTCGTCTATTTACATTAAAATTTAAAAAATGTTTTCCAATTAGCCTCTCCGTCAATTTGAAAGGAAATAAATTACATTTAGTATTTTTTTTTTTAAAAAAAAACACTTCCTCCTTTATGCATCGATATTGTTCATCAGTAGCTCACCACCACTTTAATTATTAAATCATAACGAGTAACAAAAACAAAAATGACAGTAATTAAGCTGTAGTTCAACTAATATTAATTTCCTTCCTTCTCTTAGTAAATTTAAAATTAGAATATTTTCTTTGTAAAATATATTTTTTAAATCCAATCATAACATTAAAATATTTTTTATATAAAAAAATGATTTATTTTAGACTTTAAACATGTTTCTACAAAATGAATTTGATCTTTTTTATAGGAAAATTTATTGATTGTAACTTATTGATCAATATTTTATTAATTTTCATATTATTTTTATAAAAATTAGTTCAAACTCAAAAATGTTTAAAAGGAGGGATGCAAATATCAATTAAATTACTGCTCAATTGACAATTTTGATGTTAATTGATAGAACGTAAAATACAAGATTATTGTGGAGAAATCTTGATGATCTAATTATGTAAAAGAGATAAATATAAGAAAAGATATTGCCCCCTAAATTTACAATAATTAGAACTCTAGCTTTTCAAAAAAAAAATTGGATAAGAAACTAGTTATGCTAAAAAAAATACTAAAAATTTCCTAAATTATATTATTTCAGGTAAAATATATTGTTATTTGATTTTAATGATAAAAATAACTATTGTACATAAATGCTAATATTTTGCCTAAATTAAATACTTGTATTTATTTGAAGGCAAATATTTCTAAGATAGTTTTTTGGATCTAGTCTTGCCCGTGAATACTAATCTTTACTCTCTCTCTCTTCTTTTTTTTTTTTAATTACGAGGGCAAGATTTGCAAAGGTGGTAAATGAAGATTGAGTCTTGTCTTATTTCTTTCAATTATATAATTTAAATCAATCCACCATAAATTAATTATTTAACCAAAAATATTCACAATAAGTAATCACTAACATTTCAACTAATCAAATTAATATAAATGAGTAAATCATGTGTAAATCGTGAATTAATTCAAAACAACATACAAAGTAATACATATTTGCGTGTAAAAAAATAACAATTAACCCATAAAATTATGTGAACAATAAATAAATTACATATAGGAATTCAAAATTAATCTTTACAAGTTATCAAAATCAGTTGGAACTAGGCCAAAAATGACTAAAACAAAAGGAAGCAATTCATGTGTAGATGAACTAATGAGATTGCGAGCGTCGATTGCATGAGTTGTCAGGCCAGAGAGATGCATGAATCACTCAATAGTGTGTACCAATCCTTCCTCCTCCTTTTGATTTGGTTGTTGTTGACCACCTCCACGAGAGATGAGAGATTGGAGACTGAAAAGTTATTGTTGATTCATCTTTCATGTTGTATTGATTTTTCTAGGTTCTTCTTTGTTAATGCTAATATTGTTTTTTTTTTTTGTTGTTATTGTTTGGATGGACAAAGAATAGTTGATGGTCATAGGGTGGTGGTAATTAATCACAAGTAGTGGTGAAAATCACAATGGGCAACCTTGAGAAGAACAAAAATAGAAAACTCGAAGATTTTGATGGCGGGTTTTTTTCTTAACTTTTCTTTTATTATCCTTTTCCTTTCTCTATTTTTTTTTTTTTTGCCAAGTTTTTAGTTGGCTAGGCTTTTTGCAAGAGTCTCTCCTTTTATTTCTTCATGTGTTCTCCCTTTTTTTTTTATGTGAATGTCTCATATTTATATTGTGTGAAATACTCTACAAAACATGAAAAATTAAATTGGAAAAATAATGTTAGATGATTTATATTATTTCCTTTTTTATTATAAATTCCTAATTAATTAAATTTTCTTTTCTTGGTCAATAAGATTTCTTTCAATAATTTTTTAATTTTGATTGGTCCTCTTATTTATTTATTTTTTTCTCTTTTGCATATTCTTCCTCCATTAGTTTTTATAGTCCCTAGAAACATTAGACTCTTTTCTTTCTTATCTCTAAATTTACCCTTCAAAATTCTTTTTTATTATTGAGAATTTAAAAAATAACTGAATTTGATTGAAAATAATTTTTTAAAAAACTTTACATTAAAAAATTTAGGGTAAAAAATAAATTACGACAAAGCCAATCATTGCTATATATGTAGAGAGAGAAATTGGTTATGCAAATATATATAAATAGATTAAATATATGTTTGGTTAAAATTATTATAAGATAAATATTATATATATAAAATAAATAAAAATTATATTAGATAGTAAAAAATAACATTTTAAAATGCATTTACATGTAAAGGCAATACAAAAAGTACAAATTATTGGAATAACCAAATATTTTATTTATTTATTCTTGAGAAAAAAGCAAAAACGACGGGCTATACCAAGCAGTTTTTGGTAGCCTTTGAGTATATTTATGATGCGGCAGTGGTTGATAAGATGATAACAGAATGGCTTAAAAATCCACTTCAAGGTGGAAATATGCTTTGGCTGTTTCGATTAGTCTCCCTCAATCAATCTCTCTCGCTGTCTCGTTTTCCAAAACAGTAGTCTGGAACAGAAAAAACAAAAACAAAGATCGTTATCGTAGGGCTCAATTGGCTGTCACTACCAGGAATCTGTTCTGATGTATTGCTTAGCTTAGAGGATTTGACCTTGCTACATAGCCAGAACATGTGCATGGCTCCAAGCCGACATGACTCTAGGGATCCATCCGGTTGGCTAGCTCTTTTGAGCCGTCATTTCTTTCGAAACGTGGACGCCTGTCATCAGTCTTCATGCTCACCGTCTTTACAAGAGAGCTTATTAGTTAGTATTGCTAATTAATAAGCTAGAGGAAGTCTTAATTATAACGTTCAACATAAGCTAGAGGATTTCATTCCACTGAAGAAGATGAAGGTTACACACATAGATTTAGCTAAATAATTAATGTGTTCTTGTTGTTTTTAGTGCAGTGAAACCCGAATCTCGATGATTAATTGTAGTTTCTTTCTTTATATATATTTTTATTGTATATCCTAAAACTTGGTGAACTTTCATACGAAATATATCTTACAGATTGGAAAACCTAGCCAGAATTACAAATCATAAGCTGTATAGGATTAAAGGATGTCTATCATCTGTGACATTCTCTAATGAAATGACGGCAAAACACTTTCTTTCATGTCAGAATCTATTTCTGATTTAGAAATGTTAGAAATATATGCATCAACAAGTAATTCCAAGCCCAAAGCTATCAAAAAGGTTGGGGGGCTTTCACTTTCTTATCGGTTTTTTTCCTGTATTTGTTGATTCACGGTTTTTACTGGATCGATTTCTAAATAATTGACACCCCATGTTTTTATCTTGCAATTAGTGCAGCAGACTCTGCATAGAGTGGAAGAGAAATGATAGGGAGCCACGTTGCAAGTAATATAGCAGAGAGAAAGTGATGCCCGGGTCACCTTCTAAGTTTTATACATTAAAATTTACAATTTTTAACAAAGATAAAAGAAAGTAAAGAAAGCAGAACAAACCTTTTGTAGTTCCTCAATTTTATTTTGCTATGGTTTTCACATGGAGAACATGCAAAATCAAAGAGGAAAAGCTCTCTGCAAGTTCTTTTTTCGACTTCAAGACAGAACCATTTTTAATTTCATTTTTCTTTTTTAAAATCCATTATACTTCTATAGATCTAAAGTAGGTTGTCACAAATGGGATTTAGAATGAGAAGGGGTAAAATTAAAAATAAAAGCGTCATTTAGTTTTATATTAACTCTAGGTAAAATGTTAATTATACTAAAAGAAATATTAATATTATCCTAAAGCATAATACTTAAGGCTACTTTGTGTTTATTCTTATTATAAAATACAATCTATGGTCCTTATATATATTAATTGTTCACCTAAGCTAGTGTGTATGTTCATTATTTATGGTAAAAACTACTAAGATTTAATGATAATGATTTGAGATCTAGGCATTCAAAAAAAATTTAATCCTCACTTTTAGAATACAAGTATTAGATCTCGAGAGGATGATAAATGATAAATTGAATTTTGGTATATTTTCTTGGAATATGT